AGTCTTTCAAAAATTGTCGCCAAGTTTTGTCTCTATTACCCTCTTTGTGGTTAGAGTGCATTAATGTGAAGACAATTGTCCTTCAAGAGCATCTTTACCTGTTCTATATACGGAGTATATCTTTTCAAACTCACAAAACACACACACACACGCCATAGAAAATAAGTAAAATTAATATAGGATACAAAAAAACCGTTAAATATGTTTTTATTTCTTGTAATATTGGTGATTTCAATTTTTGGTCCATGTGAAAAAAATTGACCAAAAAAAAAATACTCTCCCCTGTCCTAAAAATCTTTTATGTTTTGATTTTTTAGTCAAACTGTGACACCCTTTGACCACTAATCGTGAGAATAACATATTTAATTATTAAATAGATTCAATATAATTGTGTTCATCTTAAGACATATCAAATTTTTAGATCATTTATTTATTTAGATTATTTCTAGTTTATGATCAAAGAGCGTCATTGCTTGACCAAAAAAGTTAAAACAAAAAATGTTTTAGGAGCAGAGGGAGTATATCAAAGTTAATGCATTTTCATAAATAAATATATAATAAATTTACCTGGTTTATGAAATTATTTTTTCATCATGGAAGGTATCATCATGGATTATTAGAGGTGAGCAAGTATCGAATCGACATTGAAAATTCTAGAAAAAACCAAACTGAAAAATACCGAACGGAAAAAAAATACCGACAAAATATCGAATTGTACCGCGTTGAATGTTCGGTTCGGTATTAGAGAACGTACGAGGAAACGACTTCCCATGCCGAAATCCTGAATCGAATATAAATACTACTCTCTCCGTTCCACAAAACCCTTCCGGTTTTGACTTTAGAGAAAAATAAGGAAAGTGTAATTTTGATTGACTTTCCAATTTTACTCCTGATGTGATGAGAAAAAGTAAGATGTGATAGTTTGGTTATTAGTGAAAAAGTATGATGTGATAGGTAAAGTATGAAAAAGTAGGGGTAAAAGTGGTTTTTTAATAGAAAGTAGAAGTGTTTTGTGGAAAGCAAAAAAAAATGAAAGAGGAAGGGTTTTGTGGAACGGATGAAGTAATATATTATAAATATAATATTTTTTGTATTTTTTCATTGAATAATAAGTTTATTTTTAAAATTTGGCTCAAATTTTATTATGTGTACATTGTACTTTAATTTTATTTGAGTTTTACTCTTTTTGTAAAAGAATTTAAAAATAGTAACACACATTTGAAATATCATATTGTTATCATCCGTTCACTATACTTTGTGAGATATATACTAAGTTTAGTAAGCATTTCTTGCATTTAATTTTTCATTTTTTTGTTTTTTCTTATCTTTTTGTTTAAATATACTTTCGATTTATGAAAAAAAAATTTGCGACATTTTAGAGTTTAAAATTAGGGGCGCATGTTTCATTCTTATTTATTCAAAAATAGATACCGAAGCATCTCAGACCATATATACCGAACTGAAAGTCTTCCTGACAAGTGGTGGTCGGGTTGTGTGTCTTGTACTTTTGGTGTTGGCGGTGGGACAAGTTGATTTGGCCGATCAAATTGTGGTATACCTTGTGTTGAAAGTCTTCCCGGTAAGAGAAGGTCAGACAGCGTGTCCGGCAGGAATGTAGTGGCGATGCAAGATCACAAAATAGGTGTGGTTGTTATAAATTTAAGGGGAGGTTTGTTGGGTGCAAACTACTCTCCCACACCAGAAGAAAAAGTAGAGAATGATCTAAATAAATATGGTTATCCAACCCAATTAGTTTGAGACTTTTTAGGATACATCGGAAAACAAATCTGTGAGCGTTTATTTCGTTGCACAGCCTCAAGTATGTTCCTCCTAGAGCAGCTCGAAATTATTCTTTTTATGCCAAGAAAGTCATTTAAAAAAGGAGTGACATTGCATATTTTTATCTCATAAATATATTATTTCACTATGACAATATATGACATTGTATATTGTCATTTCTTATTATTTTTTGGTATTACTCCCTCCGTCCCTGAAAACCTTTCCTTTTTCTTTTTTCATCCGTCCCAAAAAATACTTCTCATTTCTACTAAAAAGTCATTTTTACCCCTTACTTTTTCATACCCTACCTATCACATCATACCTTTTTACTAATAATCTATCTATCAAATTATACTTTTACCCATCACATCAAAGGATATTTTTGGAATTTCAATACCAAAATACACTCCCCTTAAATCCCTCTTCAAAATCAAAACTCCCATATTTTCCGGGACGAAGGGAGTATATGTTAACATTATTGACATTACATGTCGCATCTTTTATTTTGATTCTTTCTCAATATTTTATTCTAATATTATACGGAGTATATATTAGTCTTTCTCACTTAATAAATCGATCATACCACAACTTTATATGACCATAATTAAAAAATTAAATTGTATCACATCAATAACTTTTTAATATGAATGAACATCGTAACTTGTGATTCTTCAAAGTACGGTGCCTAATTTTTTTTGTTTGATTGGCCAAATGATAGATTACTTGTGTCAATTTTTAACTTTCCTTTTAGTTCACAACTCCACCCATATAATAGAAAAAATATTAAAGATCAAAATATTTTATTGATTCTAAACCATATTATAGAATACATATTAATGATTAAAATATTGTATTGAAAACTGTAAAAAGTAAACGTGAAAGAAACAAATATATGAGGCGAATGAGGTATTAATTAACAATATAGTCAGGCATGAAAAATCCCAATGAGACAACGGGAGTATTAATTTTTGTCAAAATAAATATATTCATCAATAATGATTTACTTCCTCCGTCCCACAAAAAAGTTCTCATTTTGACCATAAATTGGTCAAACAGTTACACGCTTTGACAATAAATTAAAAATAATCTAAATAAAGAAAATTTGAGATATCAAAACTAGATCCTAAGATGAATCCAATTATATTAAATTTATTTTATAATTCAATATACCTTTCTCACAATTTGTAGTCAAAGTGTCGAAATGTTTGACTAAATACTATTCAAAATGAGAACTTTTTTTGTGGGACGGAGTAAGTATAATAATGTAAGATATATACATATAAAACTACACATGCAGGCTTTGAATAGTACATTTAATTTAGATACCCGCCCTATATATATCTTCCCAAACTCACCCAAAGAAAAGCACACACCATAGAAAATAACATAAGGGTAAAAAAGTACGGAGTATTTTTAAAAACTAGCTATATTTGTATCATGGAAGGTATCCTCATGCAAGGGGGAGAAATGGATGATATTATGGGTGCAGAGAGTCATGTTGAGTTTAGGGCTGACGTAGTGGTGGGGGATGGCAGCTGCATGGTTGGCGGCAGCGGAGAACGCCGCGTTGGCTTGAAGGCTGACGTAGCTGGCGGCGGCAGAAGGAAGCAGCCGGCGGTTAAGGAGTACCCGCCGCCGATGGAAGTGCGGCGGGAGATGAAACGGAGATACACCAAGGACGGGAGGCTTGTCCTAACGGCGGAGCCCTCAGAGTTCTATGTTCTTGACGGCTCCGACCACCAGCTCCGCCGCCTCAACCTCCTTGGCATCAACGACGACGGGGAATATCCCGCTGCCGGAGATGGGAGTAGCTCCGGGATGATAGTGCCGAGTATACCTCCGCCGGGTCCAATGCCTGGCTCTTATTTTAGCTGAACAAAAATGTTTGTTATCAGTTAACTCGTTAATAAATGGTTGGGTTGATTAAGGGGGTATTTTGGGAATAAATAAAAGGGCGGTGAGTGGGGGGTCATCGTCTTCGTGGTCGTTTTCAATAACTGAGTTCTGTTTTTCTATTTTATCCTTTTGTGATAATTTCCGATGAAAAAAGAAAACCATTGTAATGTGGTGAAATTGGATGTAATATAAATAAGGGTTCCTTTTGTTTTGCTCTCGCATCACGGGCGTGGTTAATTCCATGCATGCAATTTAGTGCTAAAAAATCTGTTCCGGCCTTGGACAACATCCTTCATCACTCACTCAAAACATGTTCTCTTTTTACTTTGATTTTGAGAGAAGAAACTCTTGAAGTTTGACCGAGGTAAACAATGACTATTGAAATAAATAGAACTCAAGAAATGTCAAAATGGGTAGTATAAAAGGTAATTGAGGTAGATTCAAAATCGAGTTAAGAAAATTAAAGTATAGACATCGTGTCCAATTTATCTAAATTGAAATGTTTTATGAGACAAGTAAATACGATATAAAAGTAAAAAAATTTTGCTAGACAGAAGAAATAGTTTATATGAGTCGATCTATTTGAGATATATAGTAAATGAAATTTTCAAGGGAATAATTCTTTTCAGAATAATTATGATTTTTTCGGTCAAAATTGGCAAATTTTGCATGGACTTCAAATTAGAAAAAAATAATTTTACGTATTAGATATTGATACAAAAATACTTTTACTATACAATATATATTTTATTTAATTATAGGTCAAATGTTAAAAATGGTTACGTTGACCAAAAAAATCGAAACTGAACAAATCGTCAGAGACGAAGATAGTACACCATAAGTATGCACCAACACTTTGATGGTTTATATTAGTAAAAAATACCGGTGCAATAAAAAAAATTTACATTAATATTTTGGGTCCGTAAGAAGTAAGAACCATCAAAATATCAACACACACCTATAATTTATAATTTAAAATATAATCTTTGGGATACAAGTTGCTTTGAATACTCCGGTGTATAAAGAATATACAAGGCCTGTTTGGGAATAACATTAGAAATTAGCGTTAGCATTTTAGATAAAATTTTAATGGTGCAGATTACTTTGAAAATGCTAACGCTAAACGCTGCCCGAAGATAACCTTTTGAAAACGCTAACGCTAATCGCTAATGCTATTCTCAAACAGGCCCACAAAGTATGTTACACTCGAAATGGGCCCTTCAAACTGCATTATAAACCTTTTTTAATTAAGGATAAAAAATCTTCCAAAAACACTTCGGTTGGTCCATAAATGATACTCAGCCCATTAAGCCCCATCCGCAACCACAAACCGGGAGCACCACACAAAGCCCCGGCGGCGTCGCAACCCGCTCCTCCATCTCCAATGGCGTCTTCTTTTTCGTTATTACTCTGCCAGCCTCACGGCGGCAGCATCTGCATCCGTCTCCCGAAACGATGCTCCTCCTTCAATTTCGGAATCCTCTTCTCGAAGCCCCTCCGTGCGAACCATTTCACCGCCCACTGGCTCTACAGCGCCGCCACGCCGCCACCGTCTAGGAGCTCAGCAGCGCCCTCCGCGGAATTCTCCAGAAGCTTCTCCCACTGTCAATCTCGCTCTTCCCTCCCTAACAGGGAACAGATCCCAAGCCTCCACCACTTCGTCCCCAAAGCCACACCTTCAATCACTGGCACCATCCATGCCTCCGACATTCACGCAAAGTGAGATTTACCCTTTTCCATTTTCTTCTGTTGATATTCTAGAATGCTAGTTTTGATGTTAATAAGGAATTGGAAAGCTCACATCACTGTTAGGAGTTTAGGATAGTGATATTTTCACTAAATAGGACTAAAACATAACTCATTTACAAAGGACTTAAACTTGTTTATTCTCTAAATAGTACTTAATAATGTTTAGTGATGGCAGACAAAGCCAGACATTTACTTTAATAATAACTAATGGATGATGACCAATAGTCCTACTTTGAGAAATAAAAACATATGGTTCTATATTGAGAAAGTCATTATGTTTTAGTCCTATTTAGATAAAGTCCCCTTTCAGATATTAGTACCATTTCTGTGAAATATCTAAACCTTTTAAACTTTGTAAAGTCAAACTGTGAAAGTTTTTTTTTGGAACGGAGGGTGTGTGTGCGCGTGCGTGTGTGCAGATTATGTATTTATTTCCTATGGAGTAGATATTATCAAAGTGAAAATGCAAGTCAAAACCTTTTTTCATTGTTTCGTCTTAGTCTAGAGACAACGGCAACTGAAGTTCTTCCAAGAGGTCGGATATACCATGAAACGTATGGATGCCAAATGAATGTGAATGATATGGAGATAGTTTTGTCCATAATGAAGAAAGCAGGTTACAATGAAGTTGTGGATGTTCCAGAGAGTGCAGAGATTATATTTATAAACACATGTGCTATAAGGGACCATGCAGAACAAAAGGTTTGGCAGAGGCTAAATTACTTTTGGTTTTTGAAGAGGCAATGGAAGACCAATGTTTCCATCGGAAGGTCTCGCTCGTCACACCCTCCTAAAGTAGTTGTTTTGGGGTGCATGGCCGAGAGGTTGAAGGAGAAAATATTAGATGCAGAAAAGATGGTTGATGTAGTGTGTGGGCCCGATGCTTATAGGGATCTTCCCCGACTACTAGAAGAGGTGGATTACGGCCAGAAGGGAATCAACACTCTCCTTTCACTTGAAGAAACATATGCTGATATAACCCCCGTCCGCATATCCAAGAACTCAATTAGTGCTTTTGTTTCTGTCATGAGAGGCTGCAACAATATGTGCTCTTTTTGCATTGTCCCTTTCACTAGGGGAAGGGAGCGCTCCCGTCCCGTGGAGTCAATTGTGAGAGAAGTTGGGGAGCTTTATGAGGAAGGTGTCAAAGAGGTGACACTTCTTGGTCAAAATGTAAATAGCTACAACGACACGTCTGGTGTACAAATGGAGGTTCCTCAACCGGGACCCGACTGGAAGCTGAGTGAAGGATTTTCAAGCAGATGTAAAGTAAAACATGTGGGTTTGCGGTTTGCTGATCTTCTTGATAGACTTGCAGTAGAGTTCCCTGAGATGCGGTTTAGATACACGTCCCCTCATCCAAAAGACTTTCCTGATGAGTTACTATACGTGATGCGAGATAGATACAATATCTGTAAGAGCATTCATCTGCCTGCACAATCAGGGAACAGCACAGTTCTTGAAAGGATGCGGCGAGGGTACACACGTGAAACGTACCTTGATCTTGTGCAAAAGATACGGGAAATTATTCCTGACATAGGCATAAGCAGTGATTTCATATGTGGTATGAGTTCCTTGCTTGCTTTTGTATCATATAGTCATTTGTATGTTTGTGAATGCCAAAGATATTCTGCGCAATTTAGCATCTGAACCGTGTTATGTGGAATCTAGTCTTCATCTATAATTACATTATAACTAGGTTGTCAAATATTTTCAATTTAGGAGCATATACTTGGAAACAACCTTTCTACCACCAAGTAGGGGTAAGGTCTTCGTACACACAACCTCCCCAAACCATACTTTTTTTGGGGATTTGTTGTTGTTGAGCATATACTTTACATTTCCAGGATCACCACGTGTCTGGAACTAAGAAAAGCTAGAGAAAGAAAACAGGGAGGCAAATAGAGAAATTTGGGATAACACAAATCATCAGTCATTAATCATTACCCTTTCTTGTACATTCACCCATGAAGAGATTGTGAACTCCCATTTTGAAAAGCAAATACCCAGTGTAATTGGTGTAGCTGAAAAGAATGCTCTAGACAATTTCTAACATTTATCAAAATTTGTTCCTACTTCCAGGTTTTTGTGGCGAAACAGAGGAAGAGCACAAAGACACAGTCAGCCTGATAAAGACTGTCGGTTACGACATGGCATACTTGTTTGCCTACAGCATGAGGGAGAAAACGCACGCGCATAGAAAATATGTGGATGACGTCGCCGATGACGTAAAGCAGAGAAGGCTCTCAGAACTGATTGAGACTTTTAGGGAGAGCACAGGGGAGTGCTATGACTCCAAAGTGGGCACTCTCCAACTGGTGCTAGTCGAAGGCCCCAACAGAAGAGCCCCTGACACAGAGCTCACAGGCAGGAACGATAGAGGCCACCGCGTGTGCTTCCCAAACCTAAGCGTCCCTGATAAGGTAGAGAACAATGGGGATAGGAATGCAAAAGTGGGGGATTATGTTGAAGTGCAGATAACGAAATCCACAAGAGCATCGCTGTTTGGAAATGCAGTTGCTATTACCAAGTTGAGCTCTTTCCACGGCTTTTTTCGTGAAGAAGCTGTTGCTTGTGCGGGCTCGAGTTAGCTTTATCTTCATGTTCTTCAATGTCTGCTGTCAAGTGATCACAAGGTAACTTTTCCATATACAAAGTACTGACTTTTTTTTAACGGCCTTTGATTAGGAGTTGTGATTTGTGCTGTACAAATAAAGAAGTTTTTACTTTTGTATGTTGTAAAGAAATTGTGCATACGTCAGTTTGGTAATGTGTTTTTTTTTTGTTCTAATCCTAATGGTGTCTTAGAATGCTTGATTTTATATTTGGACAGAGGGAGTATATTAGTTTGTATTGGTGTTATTGGACCAACCCAAATGTACCAAAGCTTATTCTACCAAGCCAAGCTTTGAACTCGCATGGCACGAGTCGGGTGCACCCGATCTGGAAGTGAGGTCCAACATGATAATGGACTGTGACAACCTTGAAAATTTTCCTCCTTCAAACCTGAGTAGGAGATCAAATTCTAAATATATTGAGATGTTCTTAAAGCTTCTCCCTCATTACTATAGTTAATAATTACGGTATTTATAATTTTCATATATTTGTGGCTCACTATTGTGATTTGTAAATTAATGTCTACCCCGGTAGTCGGGTCCTTTTTCTGTCTGGTTTGATTAATTCCAATAAAAACAAGTGAATATTCACTTGTAAAAATAAGAATAATTTAGAAGAAAAGACTCTTCGATTTGCTCAGTTTGTCGATTATCATTGCGACACACCCACTACCCTTCTCATGAAAGAAATTAAGTTGCCGATCCGCGTTACGCTGTTGGCAAAATAATGAGTGTACTTGATTCGTGTCAATTGACCAGTTCTAACTTCTGAGGGACCTTTCGGGATGGGATTCAATTTTTTTATGGAAGAAAATAGGCTAAATGTTCAATTTACTCCGTATTTTTTTTAAGTAAAGAAAAAAGTGAATGTGAAATTTATGTTGTAATGACCTGATTCAATAATTGTATTGAACAATTTTACCTCCCATTACAAGAATTTGGTCCACATGCGACAGATCGGAAACCAGGCCTTGCCGTGGGTGCCATTCTATATGGGCGGGTTTGTTATATGGCCCAATTCACTCCAGTTTCGTTACCCCGAAACGCTGCGAGAGCCGGTGCGAACCACCACCATTCGCCGCCGTGACCCGCCGCATCATGTCCGAGCTGCAGCTCTTCTCGTCATGCCTATAAGAGATCTGACCCTTCGACGCATCAATACGGTCATATTCCATCATCCGAAGCTCTTCTGCGACCTAATCACTGTTCCACCTCCGAACAACGCGATGGCCGATAAGGCGAAGAAGGAAGCCCCCTCAGATCCAGAAGCGATTGATACGAAGCAATTTGTGGCGGGTAAGACGCCGGAGGAGCCAAGGAAATCAATTCCTCCGCCGCCTGAGAAGCCGTTGCCGGGCGATTGCTGCGGCAGTGGATGCGTCAGATGCGTTTGGGATGTTTACTACGAGGAATTGGAAGAGTACAACAAGAGCCACAAGAACAGCCCCGATTCTTCTGTTGAACCCTCTTCAAGTATTTGATCTTTGTGCATCTCGTTTATCATATCTGGATTGAAATTAATTTATTGTTCTGGAGTTTATTTCTTCAATCTTCGTAAAGCTCCAGAAATTTAATGGAGTTTCCCTCCATACACTGCATTAGGATCATCAAGTGTCTCATTTTGGCCGGGATGATTGCCATTGATACATATGAGCTGAATGAAGGTTGTTGGTTTTTGAACCTTTAACCTTAGCCTCTTCGAGACCACGTTCTTCAGTCTCATCTGATGATTCTTGGCTCTCAAACACTTGGAATTTCTTGATCTGCCATTTGTTTACCATTAATCTCAGAGAGAGTCTTCCATGGCAATGCTAGCTTTTTCATGGAAGCACGGAAGGTTGATCCGTTGATGTTATCTTCGGCTTGATTGTTATTTATGCAGGCGTGTAATGGACCAGAATCTCAAACCAGCCCTGAGAGAGGCGTTGATAGCATCTCCAACACTATTAGGTTCATTTAGTTTGCTTTTGTTACAAAGAGGTCCCCAACTTTTATCTCATTTTGTTTTCAATGTAGTATCTTCATGTTCCCCAATTTACTATAATCCCTCGGCCCCAGAATGACGTTAAACGTTATACGGAGTATTGTTTTGTGAGTCACATATTTCTTTCTTAAATAAGCAGGGAAGGACATGTCCATTGCTAATGGAGCTAAAATAGTCGTAACTGACAATGTTCTAGCTTCGGGTAAACAATGGTCTAAATTAAAATAACACATTAAACTTTCTTTCAATTAAGTGCAGCAATGCATCAAGGGTCTAACGGAAACAGTCACTTTGTATGTTCCATGGGTAAGAATGTGTACATTATAACCCCCAGGCCCGAATGAAGTTGAGATTATATTTCATTGTTCTTGTGTGATAAGAAGGGATGTTTATTTCGGTACGGAGTGAGTAGTTTTCATTTGTGTAATCTCTCTTTCCTCTACTTTTTCTTCTCGACATCCATGGAAGGTTCACAAAGGGACCTTGTATTAGGCCTTTTTTACTACTAGTACCCATATTTGTCCCTGGCTCTCTTTCTTGGAAACAACTTCTCTACTTTTGAATAAGGGTAAGATCTGTGTACGCACCTTCTCTTCAAACCCTACTTTTGTGAAATTTAATTGGATTATTGTTGTTGGTATTTCAAACACCTTTTTTTTATATATACTACAGTAGTAATGTTTTTTAATTTTGAAGCTCTTAGCCCCTTTTTCTAATAAATTCTTCCATTTTAGTCTATCCATCTCAAAACAAATTATATATTTCTATTTTTCGTGCATCTCAAAATAAATCCTACACGTGTTTTTTATGAGTATCTATTTACGATATTTTTCGTCTAAACAAATTTCTATGATCATTTCTCCTGATTCTTAAGGAGTGGTCCGCATGAAATTAAAAGAATGGCCTATATGTCTCATATGGCACACAATGAACTGCAGATGGTCTTAGGCATCCCAATCTCCCTTTACTTATCTCTATTGTCGTTCTCTTTGTCTGGTAGTGAATGGTGTGTCTCACCAAGTTAAGGTGTGTGTTTGCTGACTCATAAACAAACACAAAATGTCTACACCAAAACTATAGTAACATTTCGTACAATCGTATCTAATTTCTGATACGCAAAATCTGGTTGTTCTTTATCTTCTACTCCCTCCCTCCGTTTGGGAAAACCCTCCCCACTTTGAAAATAAGGCAAATTAAGGAAGTGTAAAATTATAGTTGACTTCTAATTTTGCCCTGATGTGATGGGTAAAAGTAAGATGTGATGGATTGATTATTAGAGAAAAAGTATGATGTGATAGGTATGGTATGAAAAAAGTAAGGGTAAAAGTGGTTTTTTAATAGAAAGGGGAAGTGTTTTGTTGGAAGTGAAAAAAATGAAAGATGAAATGTTTTTGAGAACGGAGGGAGTAAAATTCTCTCTCTTCCAAACTAAATTCTTTGTCTGATTTCACAATGTTTAAAAAAATGGTGGGGTTTTAGTGACATCAGAGTACGATGACACTTCGGTGGCACTGTCATTTTGGGGCACCTATGGTCCCCCGTTCTTAAAATTGACGGTTTTCTACCCCCAATTCCACCCCCACCCTACCACCGCCCCTGCACCCCCACGCCAACCTTGCCGTAAGCCCCCACAAATGCATAAAAGCCACACATTTTGTGGGGGGCTTACGCCGGGGATGGGTGGGGGTGCAAGGGCGGCGGTAGGGTGGGAGGTTTAGGGGGGGTATGAACCGTCAATCTTAATAACGGGGCACCGATGTGCCCCAAAATGACAGTGTCACCACTAGTGTCACCAAACATGAGTGTCACTTGAATCTCACCCTTGAAAACTTGTTAAAAGGTGTGCAATAAAACTTTGTTTGGAAGGAAAGGAAAAGAGTGCAAGTCTATTTTGAGATGAATAAAAAGGAAAATTATGAATTTAATTTGCGAAGAGATTTAGTTTATGAGTTATACTTCTGTAGTCTTAATTAGATTCACATTTGAAATGTGCACTTACGTTTTTTCATAAGCTTAGAGGTGAATCTTTTCTATTTTTAAAAAGTCCAACTATTAATGTTCATAAAAATTTCAATTAGTGTATTGCTCCCTAGTCTCTACTACATTCCTTACCACACTGTGAGCCAAAATAACAATAAATACCTACTCCCTCTGTCCCGAAGTATTCATCCAGTTTTGATTTTTGGAACTGTTCATTTAAGCACTTTGACTCATCAAATTCTCTCAATGTGTAAGCCTAAATATAGTCATGTGTGATCTTGTTTGATTTGTATTATCATATAGATTATTAATATATAATTTCTATAATTTTTTAATATACAAATTACAAGATAAAATGAATTAAAGAAGTGTATTGGATGATGTGTAAAAATGAAAGTGGACAAATACTCTGGGACGGAGGTAGTATATCTCATCTTCAATAAAACCTAGGCCAAACAAGCTTTACTAGTTCCATTGCACATTGTTTCTTACCGGAGTATATTTTTGTTAATTTAGATTAATACTCGTGCATTGCATGCTTGTATAGATAAACAATATGTTACGAAGTATAAAATATAAAAAATGGAAACTTAATAGAATAAATGCTTAGAATCAGATTTAAATATAGAATTAAATTTAAAATCAACATGACCTATAATTATTTTTTAAGTGCTATTGGCTCTATTATAATAAAGTATGCATTTATACATTTCTCAATCTAATGACACACAAAGACTCAATGTCTTTGCCTCCGTTAAGGCTTGAACTTGGGTGAACTTTCTCATGAATCATGGGAAGTAGGCTTCCTATCACTCAAACTAGGGAAAAGTTCGACCTATAATTATTTAAGCTAACGTAAAGTATATAAAATAATTTCAAATAAAAATATTTCAAAGAAATTTTACTCGCAAGTGAAAATACATATTGGAGAGCATATTATCATTTCCAATTCTCTACATACTATAGGCATAACAATTCAAAAGATAGGAGTAATGGTGTTAGTCTAGTGAGTAAAAATATTGTGATACTTTAGTCTAAAATAAACGATATCATGCTAATGTAAGATTGAAATAAAGTTACACGCTATAACAGTAAATATGATAATCTCTTCACAAAATAATTCCGTACAACTTCAAGCAGAAGAATTATGTGACATGTCAATGATTACAAATTAAAGCAATGAATTATCAAAATGACTTGAGCACAAAGTGCATGTATAGAATTCATTGAGGCATTTTGACGGACAAATAAAGTAAAATTATGCTATGTGTACACCAAGTTTTGTACCCCAATTTGTACCCCGCAGTTTTGCACCAACACTTTGTGTTGGTGTAAAACTAATTTTTGTTAAACGCACCAACATTTGTGTCCGTGTGAATTTTTATTAACGCACCAACACTTTGTGTCGGTGTAAATCATCGAAATGTTTGTGCAAACCTGTGGTGTACAAATGGGGTATATTTTTTGGTGTAAGTGTAGAAATTTTGAATTAATAAACTTATCATTAATCATTATTTGAAATACATTACTCAAATTTCACATGTATCTACAATTTATATTAAAAAACTACAAAAAAAAAAAAGTAATAAAATAATTAAACTGGTATTTCTTAGTCTGTGGTTAATGTCATCATCTTTTGACTATTGAATATGAGGACGAAATCTAATTCCACATTTTGCCAGCTTAAATTACGGACACCTATTTTGGGAACCACCAATGATTTCTGCTTATATTACCACGGTTTAGGGCACTCGGTATACCCATCACGCCCATAGGCGTTATCTTTACTTTGACGCCTGGGGGGCGTTAAACACCGCCCCCTCCCCCGTTAAAAGGGCGTTAAAATACTTGCGTCAAAGTTTTGACGCGGTTTGAAGGCATTATCACGCCTTCCTTCCTTTTTCTCCCTCTTTTTTCTTCTTTTCTTTTCTATAAATTAAATTTAATTTTTTTTAAAAATTCAACACAAATACAAATTTCTCTCTATCTATCATTTTTTTAAAAAAAATTATTATTCAAGTATTTTATTTATTTTTTCATGAATGTAATTTTTTTATTTAATGAATGTAATGTTTTTATTTAATTAATGTAGTTTTTTTATAATGAATGCAATTTTTTTATTTAATGAATGTAATTTTTTTATTTAAAATCATGGAAACTGACCTTTCTACGTTGTCGGGTTTCAAACGGATGATATACGACCAAAGACAAAGAGAGATCAAGGTGAAATATAATTTACCTTAGTTTTTTTAATTAATATATCTTTTTTAATATTGTCGTTTTTTATTTTAATGAATGTATTTTTTGTATTCGTGTTTCAATATTATTAAATAATAAATTAATTTAAATTTATTAATTTAGATTTAGAAGATGTATATTTAAAAATGTAAAAAATAAAGGTTTGAAGCCCCGGGGCTTCAACCCCATTTCCAGTGAATTTTTGGTGTAAGTTAAAGCTGACGTGGCAGAGAGAGAAAGTTTGAAGCCCCGGCCCGGGGCTTCAAACGTATTTCCAGTGCTCAGAGCACTGGAAATACCCATGAAGCCCCGGGGCTTCAAACCTTCTCTCTCTGCCACGTCAGCTTTAACTTAACTCACAGTTTCACTGGAAATGGGTTTGTCATTTGAAGCTCCGGAGCTTCAAACTGGGGCTTCAAACCTTCATTTTTTACATTTTAAATACACATCTTCTAAAATTAAATTCATTAAATTTAAAAGAATTGAAACGAGAATAGTTCATTAAAAAAATTGTATTCATTATAAAAAAATTACATTCATCAAATAAAAAAATTACATTCATTAAAAAAAATTACATTATTATAAAAAACTACATTCATTAAATAAAAAAAATTATATTCATTAAATAAAAAATTACATTCATGAAAAAATAAAAATATAGTTGAATAATAATTGTTTTTAAAAAGGTGATAGAGAAATTTGTATTTGTGTTGAATTTTAAAAAAAATTAATTTAATTTATAGAAAAGAAAAAAGGAAAAAAGGAGAAAAAAGAAGAAAGATGCGTTATCACTCCTTCAAATTGCGTCAAACCTATGACGCAGGAGTTTTAACGCTCTGATAACGTGGGCGATGTTTAACGCTCCCAGGCGTCAAAGTCAGTATAACGTGGTAGGGGGTTAGGCCCATTACCACTGCCCCTAATAAATTGGA